TCAGGGATTTCAAATCATTTTATATAGTAGACAATGGAAGTCCGAACTAGTGAAATTCATTACGAAACATTGTCAATCACCTTCAAACAAATGTTTTGGATGTATTCTACGCCAGATGTCCAAGTTTTACCTTTCATTTCATTCAACCTTCAACCTTTGGACTCAAAGAACACTTATTCCATGGATCACTTCATTCTAGTCGCTGTCTTTCCACGATATTTGTATTCCTTTAAGCAAAGAAAAGGTTTTTGCCGATTTCAAAACTATTGCTTATAGAATCTTCGAGTCACGATACGATAATACTTATATTGATAGATAGGACTGTGCTTGATCTATTCGCAGAAAGATTACTCATTTTCGTCAGAATCCAGCCATATAATTAAATTTTTGTGAAGAAATGGAATACAAATCATTGTCGAAAATATAATAATTCCATCTTCCAATTATTACTAATGAGAGAAGAAATGCTCATTTTACTGCTGCTATAAAGTTAAGGACCACATAGAGAAAGAATCGTTTTTCATTTCCACCACCAATCACAACCCCTACAATTACCACCTGAAAGTCCCAAGCAAACTCATGTGCAGCGAAAGCGAAGGTCTTATCTTTCAACCTGCTACCCCAAGCATATCATCCAAAATATTGTTGAACTTACTGAGAAAAAATGTATAGATAAAGTATACTATCAGTAGAAAACTCATCAACATTATTTATGATCATTAGATGTTTCCAGTTCTGAGAAATATCAACACGGAAAATTTCGGATATTTCATAGTGGAAAGTCGCCAGAACTTTCGAATTGTCAAACGGAGCTACGTTATAATGAGGTCTTCGAAGTAGAAGTTAATGGTAATTAAATTATCTATGGTATATTAACAATCAAGAACGAATAACAATACAATTTACATGGAAGTTGGAGACGACCGGCAAACTTTCCATTTCAGTTTGTCGAAAAAAGAAATTACCCAATATATAAAGGACCTTTTCATGTACGTCATTTATTGAATGTAAAATATTAATAATTGTCTATGGTTTGCCACTTCCTTGAGTGCTATGTCCGATTAAAAAAAATCACCTTTCAAATTAATAAAAGAGGTCAGATGGAAACATGGCGTAATTTCCTATTGTAACCCTGTATAATGGCAACATGTTACATGATTGATCACGTTTTTTTCCTCACTATCAGTTAGCCATTCCAAAGTTTAACATGTAAGAAATTATGAAGGATACTAGAAACAGTAATTAGCCATGGACTCCATAATCATTACTGCAAAGAACATGAAAAATTAATTATATTTCGTTGTAAAAGTGTCATTATCGATTTCGATTTATATTTTGTTTTTGGAATCATTTCTATTCTTTGAGAATAGTTAGTTTCGTTCGACACGAGATGAAGGACGTGCGGCGGGTTCCCACTAGTTCTTAGTTGAATTCATGGCTTTCTTATGTGGAGTTTGAACAACCTGTTGAATGTTCTGTTTCGATTAGTAGGATTAAGAGAACCAGTTTGGAGAATGTGAGTCTAACAATTTATTTTCCGAAACTTCTTTAGAAATTTACATTGAAAAATGGGGTTACAATTGAAAAATTCAAACCATGGTTTGCCTGAGTTTTGGGGCACTGCTCGGTTATCTATTTATGAAGTATGTTGTAGCGAAACAATTGATTGAGAATGGTTTTTAACCAAAAACAGAGTCGATTGACATCATCTTTTTTTGTGATTCATAAGAAGAAAGGAGCACTGAAATAGGTATGTCTAATGCCAAAGACAACAAGTCATACATAAATAAGTTTGTTTGAATAACAAAAGTTAATGTACTTATTTCGAAACCAAATGAAAACATTATTTTCTGCCCTTGAAAATTTATATTCAAATAGTTGACTATTTTCTATTTTAAAAATACTTTAAGATTATCGTAATCAAAATTGGAAATACAACATTTCAGGACAGTGACTGTAGATACTTTTTGTGTTGTATTATATTCGTACTCTTCATTTTTTAATCAGCTACTGAAATAAATTTTAGTAAATGAATTCAATTCACATCATCTTGATATCAAAAGCGATATACAGGGTGTTTCCTAACTATAGTGCAAAACTTCAGAGGGTGATTCATTAGGTCGTTTAAAAAAAATTCCTATAAACATATGTCTGGAGTTGCTTCGTTTCTGAGCTACAGGGCGTTAAAGTTTTAAAAAACAGTATTTATAAAATATCATGAATATCCTTATACCAAAGCCAACAATATTAAATAAAAAAGAACACTACTAACTTTTTTGTATTTTTGTATTATTTTAGATTAAGCAACTGAAAATACAACTTTTTCGTCACTTGTGTTTTCCTTATATCAAGCTTCGCTTTCGAAAATAAAATCACCTCTTTGATTCGTTAGTATGCAAATTGAACTTTGCACAATAAAATTGTACCTGATAAACTTGCTTGAAAAATGTATTTGAAGATAATAAGGACGATATTACTATTATTATTATTAAGTACCGGCACTTCTTGTATGGGTAAATAATCTAGCAAAAAGTCCGTGTGGGATTCACCTGTTAATCTTGCTGGTAGAAAGAATGGGCCAATTTATTGGCCATTTGAAATTTCAAAGTTCAGGGTTACCCAAATTGGACTATACCTTGTATAAAATGATGTTATTTTTACATATTCGAAAATAAAATGTTGACATAATTGACGCAAACTCACCTATCGATAAACAACGTGTTATTTATGATTTATTTACTATTTATTCACTATTTACTGTTTGGAACGTCATTTTTTTTCATAAAATAACTTTGAACGTGAGAGCAAAATTTTAAAAAATAGGAAAGGAAAAAAGGCTCATTTATTCTGTTTCATCGAATTATTGCAAATGGATACATGGAAAAATAAAAAAAAATAGTAGAGTAATTACAGTAAAATTTTTCATGGTCATTTGAAAATAATATTGTTTGTTGATCAAAAAGTTCAACTTAACTCTATTAAATCGATAAGAATAAGGAAGAGCTTAACAAAACAATACAATAGACTTATTCAAAAACTAAATTGAATTTTTGGAAATACCACATTTTGTTTCATTTCTATTAAAATATATTGAATGACAAATTAGCTTGGAAGTATTAACTAAAATATTATAACTACATTGGCCAAGAAGTTGGATTGTTTTTCACAAACCCAAGAAAATTTTTAGTCATGGTAAAAACAAGTGTCAAATAGTTAAGACATCATATTTGACAACCAGCTGTCAAAATGAATCGTAACCTTAATTGATTTTCCTGAAACTTTTACAATCCAACTTGAATACTAGAATACTGATAACTGCAATAAGATCATTAAATTAATATTCATTCATTCAAGAAGAGAATACCCAAGTTATCAGCATTCTAAAGACTACCTCTAGCATTTCTGATGAGTGCAGTTAAAATAATTAATTACAGGTTACTCAATAGAGCCCAAGGTTGAATTCCAAATGTAAAAAGAATGAATTTGATTAGTGAAACAATGAAAGAATTTTCATTTCAAGACAGTAGCGTTTTTGATGACGTTTAATAACTTGTACAAACAATAAACTGAAATGGAAAATATTCCAAAATAATAAATAGTTAAGTGATCTGAAAAAGTATTAGTATGGAGGATATTACAAGGTACCCACTGTTTTGGAAAAATTAACCCACAAAGATGGCTGAAAATTATTGGGCCTGTTCAAACTTGAATTCCGAAATATTTTTTAGCATATCAATGAGTCGTCATATTAATGTCATTATTGTTTTCATTATTTATTTGTTCTGGCCTCGGTTCTACTGATTATAATTTCACAAATACTCCTGAACTATTTTTGGTGAAACTAATAGAGTTGAGAAAAAGTCATTCTGAACTTCATTCTAGAACTTGATTACCCCTTCAGTGTTGGCTATCCTTGTTCATCTTCCACTGCCTGAATCACTGTGCATGCTGTTTTTGGTGAGTGCATTGGCTTGGGATGTGATGGTTGAGCAAACCGGCCATCGGATGTCTGCTTACATGTAGCCCCGCTGGATTCGGGAATGACAGAATCACTTGTTGTGAAATGGCATCCCAACGATGGCTTAATCCTAAGGTGTTTCTATCTATGCCAAGAGGATGAATGACATTAAGCCTATCAGCTGCCTCTACGGAACCTTCGAGATACCGGACGCCCTCTCATCGTAGCATCGCCTTGTCACAGCAATGCGGGGCTCTGCCGTGATTAACCTTCTTTCCCTAGCTAATTGTGAGACTTTTATGGACAGAGTAAACCTAAAAGTCTTTCTGACGCTGAATCTATAGAGGAGATGGATGTCGAGCTTACGACTCCAACTGACCTCCCTGTAAATTTAGATCAGGAACGAGTCTACAGAGGAGATGGATGTCGAGTTCACGACTCCAACTAACCTCCCTGTAAATTTAGTTCAGGAGCGAGTCTACAGAAGAGATGGATGTCGAGTTTACGACTCTAACTGACCTCCCTGTGAATTTAGTTCAGGAGTGAGTCTACAGAGGAGTTGGATGTCGAGTTTACGACTCCAACTGTGCTCCCTGTAAATTTAGTTCAGGAGCGAGATCTTTTCAACTACCCAACTACTGATCCAATAACTGAAACTTAAAAAAAATAGGTTTGGTGGTGCAGCCAGGAAACGACTGAGTCGTCTCCTCAAGAGCGGGGTACCTTATAAAACCGCCTTGCACCAAATTCTTGAGCGGCGTGCGCACAATCTGTCTCAGGTGGAGGAAGAAACCCCCCATGAGCAGGTTAGCAAACTTTTGTGCTCAAGTGATGATTCATTAAAACCAGAGGCAGAAAAGCCCTGCACTATTGAATCTAAAGCATCGTCAGGTGTAGCTGACGTGCAAAAAACCCTTATATGGAAAGGTTGTCGCAGGTGTCAAGGTGGGAATCTTGCACCTTGACTATCCTACTACCTCATTAACGGTGAAACAGCAGAGTATATACGTTGTGCCTGCCCCGTTGGGGACCGAATTAGGTTTTTACCATCTGACCTGAAAGATCACTCACCATACAAACTAATCGGCTTCGTTAAGAAGCTGGGTTTATTTGTCCGATTGTGAATATGTGTGAGCCACAATAAACCCTTGCGGGTTGCGGTGGAGGGTCAAATAGACCCACTCACTTTGGACCTAACCTAACGTAACCCCTTTAGTCGTTAAAAGATTTTTTTCTGTATCCTCAGTCTCAAATTTTCACGAGAAGTTCTAGGTATTTTTCGTTTTTCATGCTGAACACGCTGTGAACCTATTTTCACGCGATCTTCGTGCTTGTTATAATTACTTTACTTCGCAGGGCTCTGCGTCATTTGACTTGTTTATCCTTTATATTTTTTCAATTACCGCTTTCCAAATTTCATATTTCAGTTTGTTCCACTTGCTTTTCTCATTTCTGTTATTCGTTTAGTGTAGCTTTTTTAGCAGAATACTTTGGGTTTTTGGGTTCTTTCTTGATTATGACAAAATTTTAATAGAGGGTAATATGAACCATTAACATTTCGAGTATAATACGAGAGGACATGAAAAATTAGCACTATAAATTAACTAGATCAGTACTAATCCTGATTTGGCATAACGCAACTGAAAAAGAATATTGTGTACCATTTAGAATTTCAGATTAATGTTAAGTCTCATTTCCAACAAACAAAATTCACTTTGAGGATTTTCAGAATTTGATCTCACTGGAATGCTTTCTCAAAAACACATGACGGCCTATCAGGTGTTTCTTTCTGTTGAGGATTCCTGCTTTCTAATGAAAACAAATGTTATCATTCGATACAATAAACTGTGCACTAGCAAACAAGCTAGCCGTTATCTTGTATGTATAACAATCCATATAAAAATGACAAATTGGAAACAGTTCTACTAACTTTTTTTTTCGATAAGGCATTTGAATATTTATTTGAAACTAATCATAAATATAACGAATTAATAACGGCCATTGATTTGAAAATACTCAATGAATCGAGTTCAAATTTTACGTATTAACAACTTTCCACGATTGTCGCATATTGCCAGGAAAACTTACCGAAACATTTTCTAATTGTGTTCGATTCCTGGTCATTTATAAGATTGAAATATCCAGTTATATTCATCACCATGTTGATGATATCACTACCTCATTCGCTTTCTCAACTGATTTGTTCATTCTTATTTGTGCATTTTAAAGTGCATTGTTTAAAAATCATTCATTAGCCATTACAAAATAGAGGAATAATGACGGTGATTGACGTTCTGTAATCACCATTAACTTGTTAGAAAGTAAATCATAAAAATAACACGACGAAAATCCATAATATTAATTTATTGTTATTGTTTGTTGTTGAGTTATTTGACAAGAGTATATAAATTTAGTGTAATAGTCCAATTAACGAAGTCCAGTAACGACCAAATCACTAGAATAAATAGAGATAAAGTCAAAATTGATACAAATGGAATCGCCATATACTTGAATAATTCACATAAAATTGTCTACAAAAAAGATTTTTTGACTCTGAT